ACATTGTAAACATGAGTTTATGGTCTCAATCTCTAGTTTCAAGTCTTGTTGTTCATTGCTCATGTTCATTTAGTAAACGATGGTCCTCCGCGTTCTAAATATGGTAACTTCTGTTCATTGGTTGCGAATCTACTGCATTTAACTGAACTGTACGCGTGTCGTTACCTTTCTGAACTTCCGTAGGGAAGCGTACTCGGCTGTAGTTGGACCTTCGATGGTGAGGGAGTTGACAGAAGGCAGAGGGGACCGGTTGACCCCGCTCGCACCGTTACCTCTTCCTGCCGCCGGCCCGTTGATGGCGCCATTCCCTCTGCCGTTCCCTCTGCCTCCCTGTGAGGAAAACAAAACAGAAAAAAGACAAAGAAACACAGAAGTTTTTTGTCTTTCCAGAGATGTCAGTCACAAACAAATGATTGTCAAAGCAGCCGAACAGCTGCAGCTCTTTAAACGCAGAGACACCAGCTGATGATGCGTGCCATCTACAGGCAGACAACGAAATAACTGTCGGAGCTGTCACACTGAAATATTAGCTCCCGCTTGTTAGATCATTTTGGGTCTGATCAATGTGCTGTTAGTCCCAAGAGCTGCTTCACATTCTAACCACAATATACACCCTGAGAAAACAGGGCTACAAACGGGTTCCTCCTGAAGGGCAGAGGTTCTACCCAGAACTATTTGCTTCAAGGGTTTTCAAGGGTTCTTTGTGAGACTAAGGGTTCCATTGAGAACTACTTTTCATCAAAATAACCCTTTTTGGAAGAAAGAGTTCAACCTCAAAGATTGTTGAAAGCATGTGTGTTAAAAGGGAACATCCACAATCCAGAACCCCCCCACAAAAAAAACCCAACTGAACAATGATTGTTGTGGGTTGCATCACATCAGCCCATTTTCATCGAGAACCACATTAGGGTTCTCGATGGAAATATAAAAGTGTTTTCTATAGGACCATCAGGTGGCGTTCTAGATCAGGATTCTATAAAAGGGTTCTCAGTAGACCCCCCTGGGTGGGGCTCTAGAAACAGGTTCTTGATAGAGCCACCTGGGTGGGTTCTGTAAAAGGGTTCTCGGTAGAACCACCTGGGATAGTTCTTGTTAGCACCCTTAGAAGGTGGATATAACATCCAATGAGGATTCTAGGTGGAACCATTACACCAAAGAAGGGTTCTCTGTAGCACAGGGGTTCTGGGTGGAACCTTTCACAGATGGTTTTACGTGTCACCCTTTAGATTGGCTTCTGGGTCAAATCCTCCAACAGGGTTCCAGGTGGAATTTTTATCAAAGGTTTTCAGATTTGGATGTGTATGTACGTACGTTCCCGTTCACGTTCCCGTTCCCGCTGCAAGCTCCGTTGGCCTGAGCGGGGGGGCTTTGGGCGGTTCTGACCAAAGCCGGCGTGCTGTTTGACGTGGGTGGGGGGGCAGAGGTCACCTTGGGGCCAGCGTCACCTTCCCGGACACCCACACTCTCGTACAGGCCGTCATCCAGGCAGTGGGTGGGCGTGGCGTTGTTCCGTAAGCCCACCTCGGTGTAGGTGTGGTCTCTAGCCTCTCCTACACTTCCTCCTACACCTCCTCCTACACCTCCTCCTCCTCCTCCTGCACCTCCTCCCCCATCTCCTGCTGTCTCCCCTCCTCCCCCCTGGCTAGATCCCTGGGGACTGGTGGGGATCTGGGGAAGCTGGCGCCCATGGGACGGCCTCAGGTCTGTCTGGGAGCGCTGACTGTGGAGGAGCAGGAGGTCCATGCTGGCTGGACGGCTCTTGCCAACAGCTGCACAGAGAGGAAGCGGGAGGAGGGGGGAGGAGGGGGGAGAAAGAAAGCGTTGGATGGGTGCAGGACAGAAATAACATGTATCAGATATCGTGTATCAGATATCGTTGCATACAAACCGTCACCCATCACTTACAGTTTCCATTGCAGGGGAAGCGGTTGATCTCATGCAGCCCGGTGTCAGACTTGCTCATGGCGTTGAGTTTGGGGTGTCGAAGGGAACCCTGCTGCCACACATCAACACAAGTTTCAACGCGTTAACACAACGCATAAAAACACGCAAACAGCACGTACGTTCATCTGCTTATACAACCAGACTTTCTTCGGGAGAGCAGAAGAAGACTTGGGGGGGGGGGGGGGGGGGGGGAGTAAAATGAAAGCATGTCTCACCATATTTACAGATGTCCCCTTCTCTCCGGCTGGCGGGTGCTTGCTCTTGCTTTTCCTGAGCGAGGAAGGTCAAGAGCAGCCGGTGGACAGAGAGGGAACATACACAGAGCAGATAGATACAATCAGCATCCGACTCCGGCTCGAGGCACAAAAACTCCCGTCAAACAGGGAGTGCAGCGTGGCTCAGGAGTAAAAGCGGAGGACGTCCTTCACTGAGAAACTTTTCTTTTCATGATAAGACCGAGTAAACTCACAACTGTCACTTTGCAGTTTCCTCTACGTTGATCTCCTCTTTTCCTATCCTCTGGAATAAGTCACGTGCAACGAAACGTATCTAGAGTAGTTCAGCACATGGTCCCTGGAGGAGGCTGTAGCTATAGGAAACTGTTGATATGGTGAGAGAGATGAGGACTGAAGGCTCCTGGGCGCAGGTGTGAATATGAGAACCGCTCTAACCCCCCCCCCCCTCCATCCACTTTCTCTCACTTTGAAGGGTTTGAGGAATCTGTATCACATGGAGTTCTTACTGCTGCATAAATAGACACTTTCTGGTTTGCAAACAGCAAATCGTACAAGTTGCTCTAAATATAACGTAAGAAGTTGACTGTGGCCCGTCGTGTCGGATCCTCGTCACCGGAGCGATAGCTGGCGAGCTGGAACTCAATCCTATTCGCACAAACATATGGCCGCCGTCCCCCCGAGGGGACCATGAGAAGGAGAGAGCTCCCCCTTGGAGATAATAACACGGCACAGGAGGGGGGGGGGGGAGTTAAAGGGACAGTTCACCCCAAAATTAATAAATATACTCTTCCTCTCATCTTTAAGGGCTGTTTATCAATCTAGATTGTTTCGGTGTGAAAAGAAAATAGTTCCGACATCAAACTGCTCACAACAAGTTCTGTGGATTTTCCTCAGTAACCGGGTCTGTTTGTGTAAAGAGAGGTTTTCAAATGTTTTTCTTCTTCTTTAAGCTTATTGTGTAGAAGTCAGACATCTTTATGGCAGATATCTCCACAACTTGGCAACTCACAACAAAGCAATCTAGATTGATAAATAGCATCACAGGTGAGATTGATTTGGGGGGTGAACTGTCCCTTTAGGGTAAAAAAAAGACATCATGAAGGGATTGAGACGTATGAAGAATGGCAACAGTTATTTCTGCCGGATTAAGACCGAGCTCTCACAGAGATATCTGCTGTGGTCCTGAGGGGTGTTTTCTTTAAATCAATGGCAGGAAATCAATAGCAGTGTCTCTTTCCATTTGTGCACGACAACGTGAATCTGAACCGCTGCAACGTCACCGGCGTGTGTATTTCATTTCTTTAGATCTTAACAGAAGTGCCGTTTCTATTTCCACGACGTGAGCCGCATTGACATTTCTCTACATCCTTATCTGTGTATCCCATGGCAACAAAGTCACAGTGTGGCCTCTGATTGGTCCCCGAGGATTCTGTTAAAAAAAACAGAAAACACACACTTGTTCCATTGCTTCTGTCTGGCTCAGAATCTGATCCTCTTTTAAAACCTGCCGGGGTCGGTCCTTTGCTTCTGCCTGCTGAGGAGGCTCTGGCCTCAGTGTGCTCAAAACATCATTTCATCTCATCTGACACTCGCGACCATTAACATTCATTACTGCCACTCTGCTCGAGCGGGGGGGGGGGGGGGAGGGGGGGGGGGGGGGAGACGGATAGGACGGATGGAAGGATGAGGAAAGAGAGAGGGAGGGGGAAGCGTTCAGAAGGAGCGGATGCACATAAAAGAAGGAGTGGAGGATGAGAGTGATCTGGCAGCAGAGGTGATACGACTTTCTTCTTAAATTCCAGAACTTTGTTGTTTTTCCCGTCTCACCTTTGGCAGCCGACGCAGACGAGCACGATGAGGATGGTGACCACGAAGGCGGACGCCGCTGCGATGGCTCCCAGGAGCAGCAGGTTTTGGTAGGTCAGGGCGTCGCTCTTCTCCTCGCTGTCATCCATGACACCCGGCTCCCTCTCTCGCTTTCCCTCACTTCACTTCTGCTGGAGCGCAAACTCCACCACACACACACACACACACACACACAAGAAAACAAAAAAAAAAACCTGCAGAGACGATGATGGGTGGAGGGAGGAAAAAAGAAAGGAAACAGAAGAATGTGAGTGACATGAGAGATAAGAAGAAACCTGAAGAAATGCTGCAGAGAGTGAGGGTGAGAACTGGTGTGTGTGTGTGTGTGTGTGTGTGTGTGTGTGCTTGGTTTGCCTCTGGCTTTTCGTCACTGTCTCTTTCTGACATATCAGTTTCTATTTTTGACTCACGAGCAGAATAATGCACGGAAAATAGAACACCTCATCACACACTCTTTTCTTTTTGTTGTTAAAAAAAGATCAAATGATGCCGCAGCACTCATTTGACTAGCCAGAGAGATTCTTGTGTTAGTTTAACAGGAAAAAAGCTCCCCAGAGTGTTGTCTCAACAGATCCACTGGCTGCTATACGCTTCATTTATTCATTCAATTCTCTCTGTCTCTCCAATCAACAGTGGCTCCAATACTCACAAGATGTTAATCTGTTAAATGGCGGCGCACGTTACTACGAACAAGGAAGTGCTCGCTTGTACCTCGAGTATGTTCTACCTCTGACACAAGGGCAAATACACCATCTACTAAACACACACACAGACACACACACACACACACACACACAGACAAAATGAACCCTGAGGACATTTGCATGCTGTTCCTACACTACTGAATTAGTTTAGACAGATTTGTACACTTGTTCTCGGAGAATACTACATGTTGTTTTAAAGGAGTAGTTTACTTGCTTTCTTTCTGAAAGTAACACGAGAAAACAGATACCAGTGACAGAAATGTAGAGAAATGGACTGCCATTGTGAAGCCTCGAGTTCGGTGATTTCACCGTCGCCATTTTGGAATACGGCCGGCGCCATCTTGGCTTTTTTTTTGCAAACGATGAACGGAAGTTAAAACTGGTTTCAAAAAGAAGTCTGGTTGTATAGAAGTCTATGAGAAAATGACTCTACTTCTCTCTTGATTTATTACCTCAGTAAACATTGTAAACATGAGTTTATGGTCTCAATCTCTAGTTTCAAGTCTTCTTCAATACAGCATGATGTTCATTTAGTACATTATGGTCCATTTAGGGCGGGGCTACACAGTGATTGACAAGTCGCTGTCTCTACGGCGCTGTTCAAGCTAACCCAGCTAGGACCTGAGGCTACCACCACTACCCAGCATGCTCCTGGCTGTTTGATGCCCGGGTCACAGAACAATAAGACGGATGAAAGCAGCGGGAGGTCGGTGACTGTTGAGTCCACATCTTCACAGAGACCTGGATCCATGGTGGTCCAGGATCAAGCTGCACTAGACGGGCGGACAGCAGCACAGAGAGCAGGACTCTGGTGGACCAAAGGAGGAGGACTCTGAGTTTACATCGTGATGCTTGGTGCTCAGACACAGTCAGAGTTCATGGACAGTGTTTTTTTCCTCATGTTTGATCTTCAATGTGAAGATGTCGGCCATATTATCTGAGATGGTTTCTGTTGATGCTGTTGATACAGGAATGTACTACTGTTTGTTTGGTTTTGTTTGTGTTTGTTGAATTGAAAATGGGCGACAACTGAAGTTCCTTGTGCATCCCTGCAATAATTGATCCTTGAATTATTTTCATTCTGATCAGCACGAAAAAAACTGAAAATTCGTGTCCATGTTCAGGAAACCAGTTTTGTCAGGACCATGATACTGGGCTGACTGGGTGTGTTTAGTACATCTCCTCTAAGGCTACTCAGGCTCATCGGCCCAAGACATTTTTAATTAGAAACAGTTCTCAATACCTGCACCCACTGCTCCGCACATTCCAACACACGCTGTAGCATTCCTTCATGAGCGGAGACGGAGACAATGGCGACAATGTGGTTGTAAGTATTAGATTAGAGAGAAAGCTGAGCATCGGGAATCCAAAGCGACAAAAGCAAGCAGAAGGACGTCATGGCAAGATAGAGAGAGAGAGAGAGATATTTTGGAATATACCACCACAGGATCTGGCTTTTGGCTTTCTGGGAGATTTTTTTCCTCAATGTCCTCTTTTCTTGGTCCTTCTCTCTTCCTCCCTCTCTCTCTCTCTTCATCTCTCTCTCTCTCCCTCTCTGTCTGTCTCTCTGTCTGTCTGCCTGACCCTGCAGATATGTGAGGCGATGCACGGCGAATGAATTAGCAGAGCACAGGCCTCAGACAGCCCTTTATGGAATAGACAGACAGGCATGAGTGCAACACCACGGAGAGATAGAGAGAGAGAGAGAGAGAGAGAGAGAGAGAGAGAGAGAGAGAGAAGGAGGGAGGGAGGGGGGAGGATGAGATGGGTGAGGGCGAATGAAAGCGAAGGGGAAGAGGAGAGAGGTGATGAGAGACAGGAGCAAATGAGTGGGATGAAAGGACAGACAGGTGGGAGAAGATGCAAGAAACCGGAGAAAAAGAGGGAAACACGCTGGAATCATGACGGTGAGGGGAGGGTGTGATAAATAGTGTGGGGGGGGGAGACAGAAGAAGAGGAAGTGTGTGAGAGAAATAGCAGGGAAGCCTGTACGATGAGCGTAAGGGAGGGAAGGAAGGGGGAACAGAGAGAGAGAGAGAGAGAGAGAGAGAGAGAAAGAGAAGGGGGAAGAAGATGAAGAAAACAATAAAGGAGGCAGCGGCGATGAGAAGGAGGTCATCAGCGGTCTGTTTCTGCCTGCATTCTGTCAGCCCCCCCACTTCTGAAATATTCAGAGGAGAAACACATACAGGGGGGAGCACAATGTCCTCCTGCACACACACACGCCTTAGCAGCACGCTTAACAGTATGTGAAGCTCAGAAGTGGCGAACAAGACTCCGGAGGAAAGGGAGGAGGAGGAGGAGGAGGAGGAGGAGGCAGTTTTTTTGCACAACGCACTAACGCCCCTGCAGCATGCAACGATGAAGACGAAGACGAAGACGACGACACACAGTTTAGGGTGCAAGAATGTTTCAGAGCATCACGCTGAAAAAAACAGCATGTTGAGCTGCATCCTGCTGCTGCCGGTGATTATACTACAGATGTCAGTGGCGACGATGATGATGATGGTGATGATGATGATGATGATGGCGATGATGACGATGAAGGTGAAGCAGCTAACACCGATAATGAGGTCAAACAGAGCTGCGAAGACGCGTCAAGGGGCGGATGCAGCCGGCAGAGCAGCGAGCAGGATGCAGCGGTGCAGCGCGACCACAGGGTGGAAGGTTTCCTCTGTGTGTCTGAGATCACACACACACGCACACACACACGCACACACACACACAGTCTGAACTAAACACACCAGCATGTAACGCCAGATCGTTGTGCTGCAAATCTCACGATTGCACAATGACTGTGCAAATGAAGAGTCAAAGCCTCGGATGTACCGACTCTGCAGCCCCTTCGTGATGCAATACCTGCTCAACAGAAGCTAATTGTAGTTCCTGCCCTCAGTTCTGCTCAAAAGAAGATTGTTGAACTGATTGTTTTCATGTTTATGAGACAATCAGAGGGTCGTGTCCTTAATTTCGAGCCCGTTCCATTAAAATGTTGCGCAGTTTAATTTCTTTGAGGATCCACCTGGTCGAGTTCGTTCTGCAGCCTCTGAAAGTTTACTTGTGGGAATGAAATCATAGATTTAGATAATTAGACATTTAAATTGTGCTTGTTTTAGTATTTATTTATAGGCACATCCGTATATTTTGAATTTTGATCTGTTTTGAATTCAAGAGTTGTTTTTTTTTATATATGAGATCATTTCTGATATTTGGATCTTATTTGTTTATATATGAGGTTATTTTCTTTACTTAAGTTTCACCTGCCGGAGCATCTTTCTCTGATCCACATCTCACTGATTCTGTCTCCGTGTGTTCTCAGCGTGCTCTCATTGTTGTATGTCATGGGGGGGTCGGGGTTCTGATTTTTATATTTTATAAATCTTTTAATCTGGAAAGCAGATTGTGCTTACGCTTGAAAAGAAATATGATAATTATTACAATAGTGTTGTTAATGTTAATTTATTTAATTAGATATTCAAATGAGTACTTCATTACCAAGACGCTGGTTTGTGAACAAGGCCTTCCACCATATAAATACCTTAAAAGGACATTTTTTCAGGCTTCTAAATAACCTGATTTCAGTTACATCTCAGGGATGACGTTGACATTTACGGTTACACTTTGAATTACACCGAGAGATAAATTATTTACGCCCTCTATAGTCAAGACATTGTGTGTCGGACAGCTTTTACTGAGAGAGCAGAACAACGGAGTAAAAGCGACTTCGATAACTACAGAGTGAAATGCTGGAGGAAGCACTGACGGAGCAGCTTTTGTGAGGTATATAAAGCAAATTAAAGTCAACATCAGCATTTCTTAGGTGATTCCCTGCAGTCATCTAAGATTAAAGAAATCATGTGCAGCTGATGTGAGAGAATTATTTTCCGAAATATCAAGTGCATGGATACCACACTGGAGCGTACAGAAGTAAAATACTTTATTAGTATTGATCGATGCCCTCGTTCATATTGAGTGAAAGAAGGAAACATTTCAATGAGCTGAAACCCTCCAGTGTACAAGTGAGTTACGCTGTTATTAGATTCCCTATAAAACAAGATGCAACAGCAACGTAGTTTAATTTTACAAATTCAACCGTAAACGTCAATCACTGTGTAGCCCCGCCCTAAAGCATCCCCTGCTTTATGG